TTGACTAGCTGAATGAACTAATTGCAGTCATAGGAACCATATCATGTTTTGGAAGTGCTCTCTCTTGGGTTGTGTAAGAGGATGACTTCATGTGTACTATATGTGCTGGTATTTTGGTTTTCTTTACATATGAGGGAATGGAGAGTCAGTGTTCCATTTGCCCTACATCTTTGGAGTTGTGTGGGTGTAGCTGGGCTGCACACGTTTCTTGCATTGCAGTATATTTATAAACAGTCATACACCCATCTTCCTAGGGAACTGCCAGTACAGAAAATCTGCAGTATTTCCCAACATTACTGTTTTCTCTCACAAGCATTAACTTACACTGTGTTGAAGACAAACAACAGGAGAACAGTTCAGAATAACTATACTTACCAATAGATTCTTTGTAAGGTGATATGGGACCTGTCTGAGTTCCTGCATTACACATCTCCTTACAAAGATTATGCTCTATCAGCTCCGTTAAAACCTGTACAAGAAAACCTTAGAGATGCACTGTTTATCACATATTTCTTCTACAACAAATTAGTTATTTCAAAATTAAGCTGGAATAATAAATACTATTTTGTAACAGTAAAAAACTGCTAATTACAAAAAATTCAACAAATCTAAACAAAAATGTGTCCTATAGAACATACAAATAAATAATCAAAAGCAATCCTTTTATTTCACCCTCTCACCACTTTCAATGCATTTCTTCAAAGAGTAGTTTGACTCTAACAGCATGACATGCTGTAGTGAAAACAGCCACATATTTAATTGTCAAGTATGCATGTACAGTTTTTGGACTGATGCCTGCAAAGGCAGGGGCTTTTTTCTAAAAATTTAAGTACATTAAAATCATACCTCTTGCATTGTCCTTTTGAGAGGCTGAAATCTGTAAAAAGAAAAAAGTATCAATTTTTTTACCCATCTTTAACAACAGACAAGATTTTCAAAAATAAGATTATTTACCAGTGTTTTGTAAAGATCTGTCTTTGGACTGATCCTCATCAGCTGCAGAAGATCTTGCATAGCAATCAACTTTGTAAGAAAACAAAAGAACAAAACTCTCTTATTCACAGCTATAAATTTTAAACAGAAACAGTTTGAAAATTTACATCAACACAAACAACTGGGACAATTCAAGTGATGAAAGGACAATGGACAGTGCTTCTCCATCCAAAACCTTTCAACTGACTGGAATCCTCCCACCCATCTATTGAGCCCTATTCTCATACACTGGTCCATCACATCTTAATTCTATAAAACTTATCCCAGTACTGGATTTTAAGTTAGTGTTTCTCATACAGTATGGAATCACACATCCCTCTAAATGTACTAGAAAGTCTGACAAATGCGATGGATTGCAAGTCATCTAATTTTGGGTTACAAACACATATGCCTATAGGATCTTGTGGGGTTTCTCATCCCCACCTCAGATTCCAGAGAAGTCACAACCAACTCACAGAAATGCCATACTTGATGAGAAAGCCTCACATTGTAAAGTAGCATGCTACAGCCAAAGATGCATGTTTTAATGGTTTCCCATATCCCCATTACAAACCTCCATATGAGACACACATGTGGATGTTCAGCAGCTGGTAAGGCTGAATCTCAAAGAAGAACTCTTGCTGGGTGCCCCCCTTCACTACAAGCAGAAATGGGTGATAGTGCACTGCTGTAATGCCTAATTCTCTGTTCTATAGTGATTTAGTGAGCTCATCATACCTTCAGCAGGCAATGCAAAAGTGAGCATACACAGAGACCAATATCTGACCTGTACTTGCCTGTGATGTCATGTTCCTGTACAGACTGATTAAGGGCCTGCTCCTGGCAAAAAGGGCTCTCCTACTGTCAGCAACTCAACAGACTTCTCAAGCCAATATTTATTTTCACCACCACCACCATCATCATCATTATTATTATCATACAGACAAAGCATAACCTGATATATCCTTCAGAAGAGTTATGTGCTTACCTTATTCTTTTCTAATCCACTTTCTGGGTAGAAGACAGATAGTGAATATTCATATCCACATCTGTGCAGGTGATCTGCCACCAGACTGTTGGAAGCACTAATTAACAACGAGCTGCAATCATTAGGAACAGTTTGTAGCTGGATTTTTCCACTTAAAACTGGATTCATTAACTCATGTATGAGCTGGTTTCGAAGCTGTGTCTGCAAAAGAGGAAAAACAGCAAACTTTGAAAATATGTATGTAACATCAAAAGTAAAATTGTACTACGCTGTAAATGGCCAAGAAATACCTGTAAAGGAAGGCTGGATTTCTATGTAACTTAATAGCATGTTTACAATAAAGATCTATGATACTTCTAAATGTAGCTAGAAACCCTATACAGTTGAGCAAACATGGAAACAGGACATGTATTAAGGTACAGGATTCTGAGCAGACTGAAGCCTAAGGCAGACATTTACAAGCATACTGAGGAATTTGTTTACTATTTCCAAAAAGCACCTGGGACATTCCAACTTCCCTTTCTGAATTCCACCAAGATTAAAAAACAAACTGTAGTACAATATGCTGTTTACTCTCTCTAAACAAAATTGAACTCTACTTTATGGACACGATCCCTTGTTATACTTGGCAAGCAAGGATGACACAGACAGAACTAGAAGAAATATTTTAAATAATAAATGAAGATTAGTTAGGATTAGCATCCACTCTTTAAAATTACCAGGAATCAAAATTTAAAATGTGGCTATGTTCATCTTCAGATTGGTAAGGAAAAAAGAATTCAGAGTATACAGTGTTTCATTTTAATCTGTCATCCAAAATGCTTCTAGTTTTTCAATTTGAAATCTAGTTAAGGCAATACTAAAAAGGACAACATTTTCCAAATTAACAGATTTCAACATGCAGCTAATAAATTCCTTATACTTCATTGGTTTCTACAGCCATTTGCATTTTAGACTTTGTAAAATCAAGACTAAAGTCATTTTGCTGCATTTCAGCATTTTTAAAAACACAAAATATACTCAGGTTCATTAACACTGTTGCTTGTATTAACAATTCCTTATAACAGTAAGGAGCTGCGGTGGCTCAAGTGGTTAAGACGATGAACTGCAGGCTGTGGATGGTCAGTAGTTCAGCAGTTTGAGATTCGAGTGTGCCACATGACGGAGTGAGCTCTTGTCTCTAGTTCCAGCTCCTGCCAACTTAGCAGTTTGAAAGCAAGAAATTGCAAGTAGATAAATAGGTACCACTTCAGTGGGAAGGTAACAGCGTTCCGTGCGCCTTGGTGTTTAGTCATGCCAGCCACATGACCACGGAAATGTCTTCGGACAGCGCTGGCTCTTCGGCTTTGAAACGGAGATGAGCACCACAACCCTAGAGTTGGATTAGATTGGCTTTCGAGCAAGGGAACCTTTAACTTTACCTAAACAGTAAAAAGTAAGCTCCCATTCATTTCACAGATGATCAGCTTCACCAGCTTTAATCTAATTTAAATCAAAGACCTTCAGCGTGTCCAAAACACCTCGGTTCTTAAACGTCTGATACAGTCTTTTCCGGAGTTCATCTTGTGACAGAACCTTAAATTCAGGTGAAGACATCAGGATCTAAAAAACACACATAAAAATCTACAGTGATATATTCAAACAGAAAAGTTTATCGGTTACTTTATTCTCATACCACACACTGCACATCCAAATCTTAATTTCCAAAATTTAAGAATTTAATTAAAAGTCTTAAGTGGTTTTTAGGGAGCAGGATTATATTAAGCAAATAGAAAATGACAAAGGGAGAAAAACATTAAGTTTTAGCATCAATACGATATTTTGGACTTACAAAAGCAGGAAAATATACACTGATTTTGGAAGGGGGAAGACACAGATCTAAAACCGAGAAGCTACAAAACTGTTACAGAGCTGGAGATCTCGTTGTTTTCTCTGTAAGCAAGTTCTCACAAGTACAAAGAAGTCTGAAGGTGCAAATGCTATGCAGCATATCCTATAGTACAGGATTCTTAAAAGTGACTTGACAAGTACAAAAAATTAATGAAAGGGACAGGGAGTAGGAATGAAACATGTATCATAATTAAACACAAAGCTGTACTGTTTCTATAAGGGCTGGATGTACTCCTGATGCTCCAATGAGATCCTTCTGAGGCCACGAATGATCTAAGATTTCATGTAAACTTTAACAATAAAATCTGGAGATTGTGAGGATCTCAAATTCCTGCATTAACTAGTAAACCAGCACAGATTTAGCTGGTTTTCATTTATGAAAGAAGAATTATAATACAATTGGCAAAAACAAGAGAACTGCTCTCAGTATTGGCTGGCCGAGAATACTGCTTTTTTTGTAAACAAAAAGACACCAGCACGCAGATTCAAGGTCCAACAATCCCCCCCCCCACCCCTCAGAGGCAGCCCTAAAAAAAAAGGCACCAATACCAGTGAGTACGGCCACAAAAAAAGCCCTGGTCTAGAAGACGATAAAGTGCCCGAAGTGGCAAGCACAAGGCAATGATTTGCGAGGTTAGGCTGCTGTCATCTGTATCCCCAAGCAGCCCTCCCAGAGCTCCTACTGCCAGTTGCTGGTGGAGAAGAAGCCGCCACAACCGCCCTCCCTCCCTATTTCCCAGAGCGGTCTGAGCGAGACCCAAGAGTGCTTCGGGACAGCCAGGCACAGCCCTGGGAGCGAGTTCTCCGTTCCTCCAGGTTTACAGGGTCTGCTTTGAACAACTAGCAGGGGAGGCTCCGAAAGGCAGTCAGAAGAAACCATGTCCACACACACTCTCCGACCCGTGACACGAACCTACACAACTGAGAAGAAACACCGCAGCGTCTCTCGCCCGCCCAGCCAACCGCTCTCTTTGAAGCCCCGCCTAGGAGCGCACCAACGGCCGTTACCGGTTACCATTGTTACGGCCCACCGGGAGCGCAGCTCTCGCGAGAGCTCTCGCTTTCCTACCTCTTTCACGTGCCTTTCCCCCCTCCCTCGTGGGTTTGTTTGGGTGTTTCGCGAGGCGTGGTGACGACATCAACCCGCGCCGAATGTTATAGGGGCGGGACCAAGGCGAGGAAAAGAGTGGGTGTTGTGGCCTTTCTGGGTTGCTTGCCCCGAGGTAAGTGCTTTTTCCCCAATTCAGTTCGAAGGTGGGAAGGATTTCGTTCCCTCCTAATAGCAGAGGATACAACTGTTAATGGGGGGAAGTGAAGCCCTTTCCACTGGGGTGGTTCTCCTTGTCTTTCCCTGCCATACTACAATCCCTTCCAAATGGGCGTTTTCCTGGAAAAGCTATAGCAAAGGCACGATCGCTTGAAAAATAGAACATCTTTAGACACCTGCGCTGACAACTAGTCTAATTAGCGAGGGTGGATAGAAATACAGGAAGCTTGTCCTGCTCTCACGATGCCAAGATGGAGAAAGCTGGCACAGTGTGGAGAGGTGCTGGACCAGAAAGAAGGAAGATTCCCCAAGAGTAGCAATCTGCACATCAAAGGGATAGCGTCAGAGAATAAAGGGAAGGATAGTCAGTGTCCTGGTCTCTCTGTCTCTCCTCTGAAGTCTGAGGCTAAGAGACAGTGCAAAGTCCTTCACTTTCAACATGCACGTGGTGGAATTGAAGAAATTAAAGTGATGGCAGGTATTAGCTATCAGGTTATGGGAACAAATAAGGTAGGGCAATGTTGTGGAGGACACAGAGCTAACCCTTTGAGTAGCAGTATCAAAGGGCTTTAGAACCAAGTCCACACACTCTCTGACCCATGATACGAACCTACAAAACTGAGAAGAAACACCGCAACGTCTCTTGTCCAAGAATGTCCATCAAATTATGGTAACTGAAGTAAAAAACACAGGACACTTTAAAATGTTTCTAGCTTTAAAGCCAGGTGATTTTTAAGAGGACATCATTTTTAAAGAACAAAATTCAAGTCCAGTGGCACCTTTAAGACCAACAATATTTTATTAAAGGTATAAGCTTTCATATGCACGCACACTTCTTGAGATTCTTCAGAATGTATCTGAAGTGTGCGTGCACACAAACTTAGACTTTCAATAAAACTTTGTTGATCTTAAAGGTACCACTGGACTTGAATTTTGTTCTGTTGCTTCACACCAACACGGCTACCTACCTGAATCATTTTTTTTAAAAAAATGTTGTGCTTGTTCTGTAACAGATTTGGGACAAAAAATAGTTTATTTCTAATAGTGGCCAAGTAATGCCTTTTCATTTGGACAGGCCAATATATCACAAAGAATGAGCACAAGTTTTCAGTCCCGTCCCCCCAACACTCCAAGCTTGTTTCTCTGTAATAGTCATGATCAGTAATGTGAAAATTTACTCAAATAAGACATAATAGGCTTGAAATACAAAAAGATAGATCTAGGGTCTATATGGTAGGAACCAAGATGTAAAATTTCTAGAAATATTGAATCCATAAAGAAAAGAACACCAGAAATTGTAAGGAAAATCAAAATATGTGCATTATTTTTTTTATCAAACAGACTTATTCCACTGCTTTTTCAACAACCTAGGATATATCATAGTGCCATTTGATATATATTTAAAAATAATTGCATAAGTTTTTACAATCAAAATTGTAAATATGCACAATACAAAGAACTGCAGACAGCTGCACTGTATGCTAATTTAGCACATGCATCTTGCTGTCTGAAAGGTATGAAAAAATACAAGTTGCAAATGTTTTGTGGCAAACAAAATGAAGTATTATTTTATCTGAAACATTCTCATACAGTCACAATTGGACTAGCAGCATAACTGGATATCAAGTTAATCATGATATTGAAAACACTGAAATATAAATCATGGATGAAATTTAAACAAGGGTATCCTTGAAAATGCTACTTTCACCTCCTGCAGGCCAAGAGGACAGCAGATTTTTATTTTTTGCTATCTCCATCAAGTTGCATCATAGTCACCTGAGGAAGGAAAAAACATCCCCAAAGAAGGCCCTGTCTGCTCACTTCATGAAGAAGGCAGTACCTTCTTTGTAAAGGAATGCATTTTGGATTTGAGTGTTGCTTGTGTCTATGGTATATACAGGAGTTATCTAATGCTGTTGATTGTTTAACCTAAAGAATCTTCATACTACACATTTTGAGCGAGTAAACTTTATCCTCAAAGGCATTTTACTTGTTCCAAAAGAGAAACAGAGAAACTTATATAAAAAAAATTCACTCTAAGGAAACAAGATGTCCTTTTGGTAGACTTTAAAACACAGGCTAGAGATGGCCTCTTCCAACTGTATGATTCTCCGTCTATTGTTTTGCAGAAGGGCAGTATTTTGAATATCATGTCTGGAAGCTTTTACTTCGTAATTGTGGGCCATCATGATAATCCAGTGTTTGAAATGGAATTTCTGCCAGCTGGTAAAGTAGAGTCTAAGGTGTGACATTTGTACAATATTTTGTGAAAGTATAGTAAAAACCATCTCCAACAGCAAATGGATGTCAGCCATACAAATTCAGGGATTATTACATTGTCCCTTTAAAGGGGTAACAAAAAATCTTATTCCACAATAGTCCCAAACATATTGTGCTGTATTTTATGAATCTGCAATCTGTTCTTCCCATTTGAAGCAGACATAAATGACAGCACTACAAGGACGGTTTGTTTTTTTCTTGTTTTCCTAAAGACTGGAGCAGAACTGCAAGCAATGTATATTATTTTCCATAATACTTTCCCCCGCTTCCTGTGTATGCATTTCAGTATCTTGAGAAACTGGTTCAACTAGAATATCAATAAAGACTCTGTTCCTGTTTCAGGCTTTAGTGATTCACTTGTTAATCATTCATGGAGATTGTTTTAGGTTAGTACTGAGAGCCAGTTTGGTGTAGTGATTAAGTGCGCGGACTCTAATCTGGGAGAACCAGGTTTGATTCCCCACTCTTCCACTTGCACCTGCTGGCTGACCTTGGGCAAGCCATAGTTCTGGCACAGCTGTTCTTGAAAAAGAGCAGTTTCTGTCAGAGCTCTCTCAGCCCTACCTACCTCACAGGGTGTCTGTTGTGGGGAGGAGAAGGGAAAGGAGTTTGTAAGCCACTCTGAGACTCCTTTGGGTAGTGAAGGGCGGGCTATAAATCCAATCTCCTCTTCTCTCTTCAATCTCTTAATAATATATTCAAGTTTGCTTATGGTTTATTTCAATATTCTCTGTATTCAAAGCTGATTTCCACTGTCTGGCACTTCACAGGATGACCATCGCCATCTCAATCAGTTCATAGCTCATGCTGCCCTTGATCTAGTAGATGAGAATATGTGGCTGTCTAATAATATGTATCTGAAGACTGTGGACAAATTTAACGAATGGTTTGTTTCCGCTTTTGTCACTGCAGGACATATCCTTTTTATGGTTTACTAAAGCTTAGTATGTAAGTTGTTAAAGATGTTATGTTGGGTGTAGTTAATTCCTCTTTTTTTATAGGAGGGAAGAATAGGAGGTATTCTTTCACAAACCTAAATGTGTTGATTTGGAGGAGGGGGCTGGATAGTGCGTAAGTAACCACCAGATGTAGAGAACCTTCATGCCACCTTCTAGAAAAAGGATGAAAAGCTGTTTTTGTTTTGCGCAAGCATGTCTTAACATCAGTCACTACTTTAAAAATCTAGTAAATCTAGGGGTGCCTAACTCAAAAAACAGTTGTCTGTTAAGCTTCCTGTGATGGTAGCAGGTTCCATTATGACCCATAACTGTTGCAGGGGGGGGGGCAGAACACTTGTTCTTAGGGATAGAATCATAGAGGTGGAGGGGGCTATATAGGCCATTTAGTCCAATGCTCAATGCAGGATCAGCCTAAAGCGTATCTGACAAGTGTTCATCCAACCACTGCTTGAAGATCACCACCTCCCTAGGCAGCTGATTCCATTGCTGAACTACTCTTACTGTAAAAAAAAAAAGAGTCCTAATATCCCGCCAGTATCTTGATTTTAATGTAAACTCATTATTGCATGTTCTATCCTCTGCTGCCAGCAAGCATAGCTCCCTGCCCTCCTCTAAGTGACAGCCTTTCAGATACTTAAAAAGAGTAATTATGTCCCCCCTCAACCTCCTCTTCTCCAGATTATACATTCCCAAATCCCTCAGTTTTTCCTTGTAGGGCACGCTGCTGTGCACTTCCTCCATTCTGTCCACATCCTTTTTGAAGGGAGGCCTCCAGAATTGCACACAGTCGTCCAAGAACAGCTAGAATAATGCAGTTTACAGAGGGACTACGACATCTTGTAATATGGATGTTATGCCTCTGTTGATACACCCCAAGACTGCATTACACTTTTTTGCCACTGCATCAAACTGATTGTCCATATTTAGCTTACAGTCTACCCGTACTCCAAAGTCTTGTTCATGCCCACTGCTACCCAGAAGTATATCTCCCATTTTTGTTACCCAAATGTAGAACTCTGCACTTATCCTTGTTGAAATGCATCTTATTCACATCTACCCACTTTTCTAGTGTGTTCAGATCTCGTTGAAATCTGTCTCTATGTTCTGATGTGTTTGCTACTCCTCCCAATTTGGTGTCATCTGCAAATTTAATGAATAGTCCATCCATCCCCTCATTCAGATCATTTATAAAAATATTGAGAAGTACTGAGCCCTGTGGCACCCCACTGGATACCTCCCTCCAATCCGATGAAATGCTTTGATGAGAGACACCCCCCCCCCCCATCTCTCTGCACCCCAGGATTTTGTAAACCCTGAGGTGCACTAGAGAAATTGCTGGGGGGGGGGGGTTGTCAAAATGCTAGGCCAGAGAAGGCTGAGAATCTGTGTTCTGACAGTCTGCCCCCTCCCCACAGACAAGGGGAAATTTGTTGCTGCGTCCCAAGAATTAGTGCAAAGTGGGAAAGGGATGAGATTCTTCCGTGCTCTAACTCCCTTCACTATCTTCATGGGAGGTGGCTGCAGTGCCATATGTTTTACATCCATAAACCATATTTTAAACTTCAAACTTGTTAATGGTTATTTTTAATTATTTTCTTTTCAGGTCAGGCTGTTGGCTTAAGACTTAAATGTGGTAGTTCGAAAATAAATGTAGGATGGGTGGGTAAGAACACAGGTAACTCATATCAGGTAAAGGTTGGGTGGGAATAGAGGAATCATGCACAGGTCTCCCATTCCCCCCTAAAACATTGCATACAAAGAATAGGGCCATGGGGAATCCTCTAGGCTCACTGTACTCCTTATGGAGCTATTGGTAGTACAATAAAAGCTTTTGTAGCTGCAGCCATGGGGAATTAGGGCTGCTAGCTAATAAAACATATTGGTTGATAGTGCTTTTGCTGGACAGCTGCCCATGTCAATTTTAGTAGTTTGCCCCCTTATGTAGCTAGCTTATGTAGGCCTACTCAGAAGTAAATCCTATGTTATTCAATGGGACTTTTCTTAGATTGACTTCAGTCTTCTTGGGTTTTAGTTGATGTGGTCCTTCTATAGAATAGTTTCTGTTCAGCTCTGGAAGCAATTCTGTTTTATAGATCAGTAATAGAGTATCAAGTTTTGCATTTATGTATTGTCATAATTGCATTTAGAAGTTTAAATATTTAAAAATTGAATCGTGCAAAGCGTTATTCTATGAGTTTACCTGTATATTACCAAGTAATCTTGTTTCATAACTTACCATCCTGCTGTAACTTAGATTTCAATTCACTTTTGTTTACATTGTTTTAACAGGTATATTGCACTGTTCTTGAAATATAACTTGTAGCAGTATGCACTACTTACAAAATGTAGTTAAAAATTAGATAAAACCATAATTAAGTTAAACCAGTAACACAGCAAGAGCCTTTCCAAAAAGCCAAGTAGAAATCTTAGAAGCGTATTGTTTGAGGAGAAGGTATTCCGTGGGGGGTGGGTATTGATTTTACAGTTGGCTAAGAGTGCATTTCTGAGTACATTTCAAGGAACTACTCAGTGTTTAGCACAGTGTGGTCTAACTGCCACTGTTACATAAACATCCTAAACTGCTTATTTGCAATTGTGGTTTTTTTCCCCCCTTCCCCCCATCTCAGTGGGAAGAGGAATATTGGGTGACATGGACTTGTATCAGGCTAGTGGCCATTATAGGTTTTGCTTTCCTGTGGCAGAGTAGCTTTATGAATTCAGTAGCTTCCTGTGGCACAGTAGCTTTATGAATTCTTATTGAGTGCATTTTCTTAATTTACTCTACATATGAGATTTATAATGCTTCATGATGTCAGGCAAGAAGATGGAATCAAAAACTTCTTTAGTGATGTGTACGACTTGTATATAAAGGTGAGACTCTTTGAATTACTTGAGCATTTATATTATATTCCCCGAAGTGTGGGAGATGCATTATTTGGCAGGCCGTTTCCAACACTATTTATCAGAGAATAGCCTCCATGCTATTCTCCATCTTCACCACAAGGGTCCACAAATATTCCTGTCAGGGGCAACCAGGATTCTGTTTCTAGTAACTGACAGAAGTCTCTAGCTTACTTTACTACAAACAAGAAGGAAAGAGCGTACACTCCACCTATTGTTACTATTTTATTAAGTCCTGTAGCAGGTATGAATAAGCCACATCTGCTTTGCTTGTGTGGAGTAGAAAGCAAGAATGCCTTACTTTCCAAACTATTAAAAATAATAGTTGGTTACCAAACCCAGAATATGTAGTCCTCTGCCCGTCAGTGTTAAAAAAAAAAAAATAGTCCAAGGTACATTAATTTTCTTATACCATTGGAAAAGGTGCAGAAAAGGGCAACTAAAATTATTAAGGGGCTGGAACACCTTCCCTATGAAGAAAGGTTAAAGAGATTAGGGCTGTTTAGCTTGGAGAAATGACAGTTGAAGGGTGACATGATAAAAGATTTACAAAATTATGCATGGGATAGAGAAGGTAGAGAAAGAAGTACTTTTCTCCCTTTCTCACAAAAACTCATGGACACTCAACAAAATTAATGAGTAGTAGGCTTAGAACAGATAAAAGGAAGTACTTCTTCACCCAAAGAGTAATTAGCACGTCGAATTCACTGCCACAAGAAGTGGTGGCAGCTACAAGCATAGACAGCTTCAAGAGGGAACTGGATAAGCATATGGAGCAAGGGTCCATGAGTGGCTATTACCCAACAGCCAAAAGGTATAGATGGAGCACTCTGGGGCAGTGATGCTCTGTATTCTTAGTGCTTGGGGGGCAACAGTGAGAGGGCTTCTGTAGTTCTGGCCCCAATGGTGGACCTCCTGATGGCACCTGGGTTTTGACTGCTGCAACACAGAGTGATGGACTGGATGGGTCACTGGCCTGATCCAATATAATTTCTCTTATGTTCTTATTAATAGTGCTGCAACAGAAGTATAGGTGGTTACATTTTTTCCTTCATTTATATCCTGCTTTTCTTCCTAATGATGTTGAAGAAGCTGACATCAGTCTTCATTTTATTCTCACAACAGCCCTGTGAGCCAGTTCAGGTTGAGCGTGTGTGACTGGCCCAAGGTCACCCAGCAAACTTCCATGGCAGAGTGGAGATTTGAAACTGGGTCCCAATATCCTAGTTCAACCCTCATCTAAGCCAAGTGTCACATCACTACATTGGTTCTTTTAAAAGTGGCAATTTATCCTAGGCTTTTTATGGTGCAATTCTATGTAAAGTTATTCTAGTCAAAGCCCATTCAACTATTTGTGTATGTATTGATGGATTTTCTCTCCTCAGTTTGCAATGAATCCATTTTATGAACCCAATTCTGCCATTCGATCAACTGCATTTGACAGAAAAGTTCAATTTCTTGGGAAGAAGCATCTCTTAAGTTGAACAGTAACAAATCTACATAGCTTGACTCTTTTTCCTGAACACGTGGAGACCAACCTGCTATTCTCAAGAAGTTTAAAAACAGCGAAGTTGAGAGAACAGGAACACAGCTTCAAGAATTCAGACAGCTTCAAGAGTTCAGACATTACTAATTAACTGTAACTGAATCAATTCAAATGTGTAATATTGTACTTCTGTCAAAACATTAATATAGCTAGCTAGCTTCCTCCTTTAGAAATTCGTTATCTACAACCAGAGCTTAGAGATTTTTGTGGTTATTGGGAAGTGCTACTGTGAGAAAATCTAATTCTATCCCTTAAGGCTTCAGTTGAGATTTGTCAGTATTAAGACTAACTAGGTTTCAGAACCTTACTTGGGAACGGGTGTGTGTGTGTGTGTGTGTGACAAAAATGCAGCTATTAACTTGGAAACAAGCCTCTCACGAGTTGGTTAAAACAGTTGATTCCAAAGAAATTCTTGTAACATCACACAGGCCTGAAAGCCAATGTCATAATTACCACGAAGGGCAAACGGCTATTAAGAGAAAGCATAAGGTATCCTTTTAAGCCTTGTGTATGAAAATACCTTTATGTAGTAATGTGCTTAGGTTACCTTTAAACTCTAGAGCTGCTTAATTTAACCTCAAAGTCAATTTTCTTTCACTATGCCAAGTCTAAGACGTAACATGGTCACGATAACAAGTGAGTTAAATATTTGCAGACTCCATTGATTTCTAGTATGGTTGAGGCTAAGGGTGCAGTTCTAAATACAGTCATCTCACTGCTTTGAGGCATCATAAACAGCCTTAGGCTTGTATCCATCAGAATTTCCATAGACAGAAGGATTGCTGCTTGCAAATCTGACACCTGCCTCTACCCTGCTACAGCCCAAAATGTCCTCTGAAAGACAGGGGGGAAATACATTCCATAGGTGAAAATCTTTCTGCCTGTGAAGGCAGTGGAGGCAAGGCTGTAACTGCAAAGACTAAAGAAAGGCCAAAATAGCTAAGCAGAATTTGGCTAAAACAGTACATTAAAGAAACTGTTTATACTGTTTATGTAGAACTTAAGCATGTTCTTCAGTTCAACAGTACTTCATTCTCTCTTTTAAGCTGTGGTATTTCATTGTATAAACACATTGGTCAGAATGACAAAACATGCATTTGTTGTAAGGAGGTTACATTGACATTCCCAAATAAAAATGTTATAGCGTGACTTCGGTATACTGAAGTCTCTCAGTTTACCTTCAATAAAAAGGTGTAGTTTACTGGGCATAGGGTGACTGCTTTAAGTTACTGTACAGAAAAGTTTGTTAGATGCCTCTGACCAGCCAAGAAAGGAAATGGGGGGGGGGGAGTTATTTTGACCTTGTAAATTTAGTTTTCTACAAGAGATTAATCTCAGTGAGGTGGATGGAGCAGATTTTTTAAAAATGCACATAGTACAAGATAGGACGTGTTCTTCCATAAGAGGAAATGCCAGTGGCTGCATTGGACTTGGATATTCCCAACAGTGTGAAAATTAACAGAAATATAGGAATACTGGAATAAGAACTATTTGTTTCCCATATATGCAGATATATCTGATCCGCTTCAAGGAACAGAACCAGAAATGGGTCTTGATAATGCTATCTCCTACACATGCTATTTTCCAATAAATCCCTTAGAGGAATACACATGCATTAGGGAAGCTAACCTTTACTTGAATATCCTAGGACACTTTTATAGGTGAGTCTGTCATTTGATTAACACCAACAATGAACCTTCTACAGTATGATGTGTAGGTCATGGAAATACATTTTTCCCAACCAGCAAATTCTCTACCTTCTCTCCACCATCCTCAGTAATTAGGAAAATGGAAGTTATTTATTTATTTAATTTGTATCCCGCCCTTCCTAGATGGGCTCAGGGTGGCTTCCAACAGCGGCAAATGCCATAACAAACAGTTAAAACAGTATAAACAATCAATAAATTAAGTGCGGTGCTCTAGATATTAACTTATCTCTCCAAGATGGGATCCCTTTATCACCTAGCCTGGCAACATAGGTTCTTGGTCACCTGGGCGTCTTCCCAGGGCCGGTTCACTTATAGATCTAATCCACCGTCATAGATGGCAACTCGGTGGTGGCACAATGGCGGCGGCGGCTCCTATGCAAAGGCCTGGCGGAAGAGTTCCGTCTTACAGGCCCTGCGGAACTGTGCCAAGCCCCGCGGGGCCCGGATCTCCTCTGGGAGCTTGTTCCACCAGACAGGAGCCGCCGCCGAGAAAGCCCTGGCTGCTTGATGTCCTTGGGGCCTGGAACCACCAGTAGGTGCTGCGCCCCAGACCGTAGTGCTCTTCGGGGAACATATGGGGAAAGGCGGTCCCTTAGGTATGCTGGACCCTGGCCATCAAGCGCTTTATAGATAAGAACCAGCACTTTGAAGCGAATCCGGTATGCTATAGGCAGCTAGTGCAGCGCCTTCAGCACAGGCTGGATGTGGTCCCATCTAGTGAGACCCATCAACAGCCTGGCCGCCGCATTCTGCACCAGCTGCAGCTTCCGGATTTGTGACAAAGGCAGCCCCATGTAGAGAGCGTTACAGTACTCCAACCTTGAGGTGACCGTCGCATGGATCACTGTGGCCAAGTCTTCGCGGTCGAGGAAAGGAACCAACTGCCATGCCAGCCGGAGATGGTAAAAGGCTGACTTGGCAGTGGCTGCCACCTGGACCTCCATCGATGAGGAGTCCAGGAGCACTCCCAAACTCCTAACCCTCGACACCGGCACCAACGGCGCCCCATCGAAGGCCGAGAGAGGAAGCCCCAACCCCGAACCAACCTGGCTTAGGCCCAGGACCTCTGTCTTTGCCGGGTTTAACTTCAGCCGACTCAGTCTGAGCCAACCAGCCACAGCTTGCAATGCCCGATGAAGGTCATCTGGGTCGGACTTCGACCGGCCACCCAGCATCAGATAAAGCTGGGTGTCATCCGCATATTGATGACACCCAAGCCCAAAACTCCGGGCAATCTGGGCAAGGGGACGCATATAGATGTTAAATAACATTGGGGACAGCACCGCCCCGAGGCACCCCACACTCAAGAGGATGCCTCCGGGACTGCTGTTCCCCTATCGCCACCCTTTGTCCCTGACCTTGTAGGAACGAGGCAAGCCATTGAAGGGCGAGCCCCTGAATCCCCACGTCGGCGAGGCGGTGGGCCAGCAGCTGATGGTCGACCGTATCAAAAGCGGCCGACAGATCTAATAACAGCAATGCCTACGGAGGTCGTCAGTCAGGGCGACCAGTGCCGTCTCCGTCCCATGACCCGGGCGAAAACCGGACTGAAAGGGATCTAAGACTGAAGCATCCTCCAGAAAGCCCTGTAGCTGTGATGTCACTGCCCTCTCTATAAGTTTGCCCAGTTAACATCTTCCCATGATCTAATGGTAGAGGATTAACTGGAATTTTGAAAAAGCTCATTGCAGAACTCAGCACTCGGCAGAGAATCTTCCCAAAAATCTGCCTCACTATATCCTAAATGAAAAACTGAATTCTTACAGGAGAATCATGGTAGTACAGGAAGAATAATTTTCCCATCAGACCAACTGCTACAAACAGTAATATACTAATAGCAGCAGCTCATTGACTATATGTAGAACCTTAAATATTAGAAGAAATTACAGTTCAGAAGATATCTGTTCTGTTTTGCCATGTGGCCAATATTACCTTTACTTAGAATTTAACTTACATTGAGTTTTAAATCAAAAATTCCAATAAAATAGGGGGAAATGTAGAGTTTGGGAACCAAATATATGAAATCATGAACACACACAGCTGTAGATAAAGTTCCAAAGAGGAATGAATATGGGACTCAATCTCATTCTCATCCCATATATGCAGCGGCCTCTTGGATATTCACTGTGTCTGCAGGCCTTTGTCTCTCCTACAGGCATAGTACATGACTACAAGGGTGTTGATTGGATGTGATATTTGTGGTATTAAAAAATGTATTCCGAGTGCAAAAGATGATACAAGCAGAGCACTCTTGAGAGATAAGGGGCCTCAGATTTAGGCAGAATGTTTCAGCCACACCTATTACCAAAACATTCAAATGGCATGTTTACTCAGAAATAGGTCTATGGGGCCTACTCCCATGCAAGTACACAGAGGCCTGCAGCCTAAATTTGTGCAAATTAAGTGTATTAAAATGGTTCTCACGATTCTTAGGCAACTCAAAGCAGTTTGGCATTAGTCTTGTTTGTGCCAGACTAAGCCACTTATACAGTTTACCTTTTGATATTAATGAAATCATTAATCTCTCTAGTTCAATCAACAGTCATTTGATATTTCAATTACATGAGCCCCCTCTAACCCTAATCCCAACACATGTCCTCCAGTTTTTTAGAAGTAATCAGTTAACACGTAAGCAGTTGAAGACCACTACTGCTTCTTCCTGTCCAAAATGCTAGAACTTTTCAATTGGGCTTCTAAAGGACAGCAGCTTAGCTTTTGTTTTAAATCACCCAGCCTTCCACACAGACAGCTAAGAGATTTCTCAACCACTGTCAGTATTTGTGAGCAAAAAGGGGGAGGAATACACATTCAGACAATATCTATGTATGCAGGTTTATTTCCTAACTTAAAATCTACAAGCAGTAAAGTGACACCAGGCAAACAGCAAAAGCCCTTAAATTCATTTTAACTTAGAATGTTTCTAAAAAAAATCACATTAAAGATGAGAAGTGAAACAAGACCACATATGTAATACCCAATATTATTACTTTATGAAAAAGTTTTAGTGACACAAACATGGATGATTTCATAAAAATATATATGTACATATAAAAATTTAATTTTTGCATCTCAATTTCAGAACAAGACCTCCTTCCAAGTAGTGCTTCTAGAACTTTCAAGTTTTAGTATAATTTATTTACTTTGCAAATTACACATTTAAATTAAATGAGCTCTGAGGTGGTACCTTCTCAGATGTCAGACACTGCTAACTCAGCAAATAGGTCACTTGTTAAACAGAAGCTCTCCTCTACCAGTAAAGAAGTAGAATATTACAATATATTGGAGTGGCACCCATTGTATCATATTTAATCTATTATTATCCATTAAGTTAGAACAATATGGCCAAGAAATAAAATTAAGTTGTCAACAGCATGATGAACTAGACTTGGGCTTCCGATGAAGATTTATTGTATCTGTCTGAATCAAATGGTCTGATCTATCATCGGTGGCAAGAACTCTTCGAACAGCTTCTTCAAAAGCTGCTGCAACATTAGTGGCATCTTTTGCACTGGTTTCAAAATAGGGATGGTTGCCGTTGTTCCTGCACCAGACTAGAGCTTCTTCCATAGATACTTGCCTGTCATTTATATCAACTTTGTTTCCCAATATCACAAAAGGAAATGTTTCCGGCTCTTTGACATCTGCATAGTAAATAAATTCCTTCTTCCAGTTACCCAGATTTTGGAAGCTTTGTGAGTCATCTACACTGAAAGTAAGAAGACAACAGTCAGAGCCTCTGTAGAAAGGAGTCCGCAAGCTCCTGAAACGCTCTTGACCAGCAGTGTCCCATATCTGCATTGTAACAAAGTGTCCATCCACCTCCAGATCTTTATTCAAGAACTCTACACCTATTGTGTGGAACAGCTGAGTATCAAACTTGTTTGTGACATATCTGTTCATAATTGAGCTCTTCCCAACTCCTCCATCTCCTAGGAGGATTACTTTAAGGAGTGATGATTTTGATGCCATTATTTCAAGAACAGATCCTTTCGATATCCAGTTCTGTAAAATAAAATAGAAATTACAAAAAAACATTTGACTAACATTCCAGTGTTCACTCTTTCTTGAGAAAGAGCAGCCTGAATAACTTATTACATACAGCATTTAAATGTTTCTCACTGCTTCCTGTAGGTTAAAAGATCTGTTTGCTATAATAGCACTGCAATCCTAACATCCTAATCCTAACTGTGGGAGTAGCTACCACTGAACAGAATGGAGTAGGATTCTGAGTAGACAAGTTAGGATTGCTCCTTTAGTACAGCATGCTACTTGTACAGTTGCTCCCTTGCTAACAAATGCTGCTTAATAAAGTACCGCCACACATCTACCAAGCAGAGCAAGCTGACCCAAGCAGGGCATGACAAGGAAGGAGAGAATATTACTCTGTCCATCGTAGCTCTTTAAAGTGTGTCCCAAGAAAGATACCATTTGGACATTAAAGCTAAGGAATATTGGCTGTTCCCCTATCAAACTTTGCTGTAAGTGGATAGCCAAATCAAGCACAGCCTGCTTTATCATCAGGATATGTACCAGTAAAATGGTTGGTGCCCACATCAATCGCAAAAACAGCAAAATGAGGAAAAGAACTCATATGAGGACCTGAGCTCCTTGGAGGAAGAGCAGAACCAAAACATGGAACAGAAAGAATCCAGGCCACCCACAGGAAAAAGAATTACAGGGTTCTAAGTATTTGAAGAACAAAGGCAACCAGAGGAATAAATTTCCAGATGTACAGAATGCTGATGGCCATTGTCAGTTAAGGGGCAGGGGAGGAATTAAGTATGTGGAATTAAGTCAGTCCTGAAGGGGTACATCTTGGGGATGAGATCTCTGAATTGCCCACTCAATGCTGGCTTATTAGAAATGTTTATTAAACTATGTTGCCTAAGTCAGCCTACAAATTTTGCCTGAATTAATGAAAAAATGAAACATTTTAATTCCACATATTGAAAAGCACATAATTTTAAATTATCTATGAAATAAAATAATCCTGGATTTCCCTGTTGACAATTTTGCTCTGTCACAGGTTACTTCATTTAGTGAATTCTGGATGCATAGTTATAACTGCTATCGGTACATAGAAAGTGTGTTCCACTCACAGTAAGGCTGTTTCACACCTTGCTCTAAAGCATAGTAGAAATCAAACTGAATCCCAAGGCGGTGTTCTGTTTGTGAAAGAAAATAATGAGAATTGCTATAGAATTTACTTATAGTGCAGGGATTGTTCTGTGAGTGTTTGTGGAACAACAACTACTGCCTAACAACAACTAAATCAAACCTTTAGTCTATGTTTACCCTTGCTTCCTATGAAAGTGAATAAATTTTCTGTAAAAAGGTCTAGTATTTATGTAGTTCAATAAGACAACAATTATATGTCTTGGTATACCAAAAACACAGTTTTCATTTTTGAAAGCCTGAAGAATACTATCATTGCTATCTCTCCTTCTAGAGAACTAGAGTGCATATTGGGGTTATGCTAAGATTCCTGACATAGTGGCTACAAGCTAGCTGACTCCCTGTACACTTTTACATCCACCTACCCAGATTGTGTTGACTGTTACTTTAGAAAGGAAAAATAAGAAAAGATTGAGAAGTGATTTTTATTAGTGTCTAATCTAACCAGGAATAGTAACTCCTGAAATGTAGGATTGCTAACATTCATTAAAAATATTGAACCCTACGGAATTTCAGCCATTTGAAAAGTATGGGTATAAATCCAATCTCTTCTCTCCTATATAATAAAAGCGTTTTTGTCTTGCAAGATTCCATTCACTCCAAAAACAACTGGCTCTGTGATGTGTCAATCACAAGGTGTCTCTATCTACTGGCTGTGTTGCCTGAGTTTTCTCCCACCCACTGCAGCCTAGGCCAGTCTTCTCTGATTGGGCCAGCGTTTCAAGGTCATTTGCATATGGAAGCTGATTGGACTTCACTCCATTCCGCACCTCAAACTCCCCCCTCCACCGCGAGACAGTTGGAACTCTCAGTTGCATATGCGACCTGGTGTATTCTGAGGTAAAATATGTCCTCACTCACAACACATCACTTCCCCTTCAAAAGAAACAAACCCAATAACACAACCATGCCACACCACAAAAAAAGACAGATCACACCACAAGCAGAATACCACAAGGCAAAAAATGATAGGAAAAGGTGCCAGCAGTCACCCCATTACTGCCACAGATATGTACCTGAGAGCGCTTCAGAGGATGGCGTGCAGGTCCCAGGTTCGTGTTATAAAAGCTGCTTGGGGGATTATGGACCATTCACAGACTTTCTACCTTAACATACCTCACAGGATCATACGGGGAGAGGAGAATGATATCAGCTGCTTTGGTTCCCACTGCAGGGAAAGAATGCCCTTTCCCTAGACAGAGGCGGTGGGGGGGGGGGGTTGTAAACCTGAAGACAGACAGGCAGATAAAGGTAGGCTGATGGTTGCCTGGAAAGGACATAGGATTGCCAACTCCAGGTTGGAAACTTCCAGGATATTTTAGGGATGAAGCCTGCTGAGGGTGGGGTCTGAGGAGGAGGAATACTATTATTGCCAATCTCCAGGTGACAGCTGGAGAGCTTCCAGAGCCTCTGGCATTTTCTCACTCTGCTGGCATCAAAACCAATTTAAGGCAAAATAGAGATATGGAGACTTTTCCATCCTCCTTTGCATCAATTTGTCTTTGTTGGCAATGGCAACCCTAGGCCTGCCAGCACTCTCAGGGTGACTTTGTGCCTCCTGAGTGGCATGGCATCACTAGCCCTGACTGCTTGGTCCTGTACAGCAGGAGCCTCCCTATGGAAGCTGCCTGGGTGATTTTGGACCAGCCCCAGACTTTCTGCCTAACTTACCTTGCAGGGTTGCTGTACAGATAACAAAGCGGAAGAGGAGAATGAAGTAAGCTGCTTTGCTCCCCACTAATGAGAAAGACAGAACTTTGCCTAGGAAGAGGCTGCTGAGAGCGGAGGAGATAAAGTTGCCAACTTTAGGTATGGAAATTCCTGGAGATTTGAGGGGTGGAGCCTGGAGGGGGTGGGGTTTGATGAGGAGTGGGACCTCAGACAGGTACAATACCATAGACTCCACCCTCCAAACCAGCCATTTCCTCCTGGGGAACCACTGTTGCCAATCTCCAGAGGAGGGCTGGAGATCACTCAGAATTACAACTGTTCTTCAGATGGTAGAGATCAGTTCCCCTGGAGAAAACGGTAAGCTCTGTGTCATTATACCCTGCTGAGGTCACCCAAGGCCAGGGCACTCACCCAGAGCCTCTCTCTAGAGCTCGTATTGATTTCCACAACAAACCTTATTCCTAGTTAACATATAAAACATTTTATCACAGTGATTACCTTACTGTTCAGCATAAATCATATCAAACACCTGCCAACAGAGACTATTTTTTACTACTGGATGTGCATTCTGAAAGCAACTAAACTATCACATATTGATACTGAACATTTTAAAATTACATTTCTGTAACAAGTTCCTAACAACCAGGTTCCTCTTGCCATGCAAATAGAACAAAGGACCCATAATCACATATTTCTTTTAACCACAGCATCTAACATATTTACCAGTCTTTTGATGAAGTGAAACCTCTGAGTGCTACTTTTAGAAAGAAGCCACTTCAAGTCCCAAGTATCTTTCACTTAACAAAGGCTGGGTGGGGGACAGAGCTCAAAAGATTTACAGAAAAAGTGAAATGCCTATATATTTTGAACACCTGTGCCATGTTTGGCCTTTCTGTTAACTAGGTATAAAAATATTTTAAATAAAAAGGTTAATCCAAACTGGACAGTCATGACCAAACAGCAGTAACATAACAAAGAATACTGGCCACTTAACACTTCAGTAACATTAGTAGAAACAATGTGTATAGAAAGGAGAATGACAAGTGGGGGACAATGACACATGGGGGACCCACAAAGGGCCCCTCATGTCCCCATTCCTTCTCTTCTTGCTTGTCTTCTTTACTTTCCCCAGCAGCTCCCTTTCCTTCTCTCACACCTACCTACCTTTCATTACTTCTCCCCCTGCAAGCCTCTGGCTTCCTCTCTCACTCATCCTCCTTTTTGTTATCCTCCCGCATCTTGTTTTCCATTTTTTATTTCTCCTGCCTTCACCTTTACCTTCCCTCCCTGCATTTACATTTTAGTATGCTTCTTGGGAATCCTCAGCAATGTAGGCTCAAATGGCCGCGAAGAACTCACAACACACTTTTATTAAAGCAGCAGACTCTGCTTCTATAATTTGGGGTTTTTCTAACCTCCCAATGTAATTTTTTAACATTTTACAATTTTCCTGCAAACCTGCCTGGGGTTTCCATTATGGTAGAACAATACCCCCTATCTGTCCCTGGCCTGACTGTGTGGACTTCTTGATCCACACTCTATGGCCCAGTTCAGAACTAGATGCACTGATCATTCCTGCAAGTACTGCATTCATACACAACAAACAAATCTACAACACATTTCTGCACTTAGAGGATGCTGCCATCTTCATGGCAGGAGCATAAAGGCCTTCTTTGCAAATGGACTTCTGGTTGCCTTCCTTTGGTGACCTCTCACCTAGTTTGACTGTGATGACAGAAACCAGCACCGGATGTACTCAGCCTTTTTGCCTCTTCCCTCAAAAGGCTACGGCTGTCACTCATGTGCAGGGAAACAAGCCATACTTATTACTCTGCTTCACTGAAAACAGACTCAGAATGAGGTGGGGCAGAAAGTGCAACAGATCTGCTGTTGTGGATAACAAAGGGGACAAAAACACGTACATGCTTAGGTAGCAAAACATACAGCAGTTTACATTGCCCTAAGTCTTGGACCCAGAGGAAACTACGTGGCAGCAAAAACAAACAGGAATCTTATGATACTTAAAAGTAATTAAGGCACCACAAGACTCTTGTTTATCTAGCCCTGACCTGGATAGCTCAGGCAAGCCCGATCTCAGAAGCTAAGCAGGGCCAAACCTGGCAAGACCTCCAAGGCAGAGACCTCCAAGGAATATC